GTGCCGTGCACAGTTGTGCCATAGAAAAACTGTAAGGCACAGGCAATTAAAAGTGGTCAGTGATCTGCATTTATCACTGGCTCTTTGTAATTTTCTTAGGATTCCTACATTTCTTTTTATTTTATTTATTTGGTACTGGGGATCGAAGTCAGACCTTGCACTTGCCAGGCAGGTGCTGGAACCACTGAGCTAAATCCCTGGCCCTCCTGCATTTCTTTTTAGTGTCTTTGTTTACAGCCAACTGGAAAACATCTTTGTGAAAGGAGAGACCCGCTTCCTTCCGACAGGGGGCGAAATTGGGTCCAAGCTCAGTGAGACAGTGAGCTTGGGGGTCTGGTCTCGATAAAATACAATTTCACAAGCATTGAATTGCACCCGGAGATCCTGTCTCTAGCCCTCCTGTCAGGACCCCTTGCGTATTTCAGTAGAAAGCCGGGCAGGACCCTTGGCTCCTGTTCGGTTGTCTACCTGAGAAATCCCTGTCCTTCCTCCCTGCCTGCGCCTTCCGTCCATCCCTGCTTCCACCTAGGCCTCCATCTGCCCCTCCACCCGCCTCACCATGCATCTGTCCTCCCTTCGTCCCTCCCCGCCCCGTATCCATCTCCCCTCCACTCAGACTTCCCCCACCCGAGTTCCCACATGTGTGTGGCAAATGTGGGTGAGAACACCCTGCTAGAGAGGGGACTGGAGTCTGCATCCCTGGCCACCCGGAGCAGGGCACCTGCTAGCAGCCAGTCCCAGGACTTCCGGGGACAGGTGCCCGCTGCAGGTCGCTTCCTTCCCTTACTGAAAGCACTGGGGGAAGTCTGGGCGAGGGCCAGAGGGCAGCGCCCTTGTCAGCGGGTACATTGCCTGTGCCGGGGGCAGAGGTTATCCAAGAGAGCCGCGTGCCCCAGCCCTGCTGGCTGCGGTTGAAGCCCGCCTTCCCCGGGGCCCTCCTCTACCCCCTGGGCCCATACCCGTGCCCACCACCCCGCCAGGAAGGGCGCATCTGTCCACCCCGTTCCGTCGGCCTTCAGCCTTGGCAGTGTCCCTTCCCAGGAGAGGAGACCTGGGAGGGACCGTGTTCCGGATGGCCCTGGTGCTGGACAGACCCCGTGCTGAGGGCCCTGCTGGATTACCGTGCCCTGGTCTTTGGCAGTGGAAGCAGTGCTTTAGAGCTCAGGAAAACACTTGAACCGTGCTGTGTAGCCTGGCAGTCCAGCCTCCACTCCACCCCTGCCGGTGGCATGGAGACCCCACAGGAGCAGGGGGATTCCTCACTGCCCCTCTCATTCCAGGGTACCCCTCCCGCCCTGTGCTGGCAGGTGCCAAGGAGCAGGAAACACCTCTCCACAGGAAGAAAGAAGGGCAGACACCCAGAAGCTCACCGCCACCCTGTCCCGGCCCCCAGCCCTGAGGGGTTCTTCCCTCCAGGCTCCTGGGGACTCCCTCAAGGGACCCTGAGGCCGCCCAGCCCACCCCAGCAGCCTGTTGGGCCACCTGGGTGGCGAGTGGCGGGAGGTGAAGAAAGGAAGGGCCAGGCTCGGTGGGGCCCCTGCCCGGAGCTCTGGACCCAGAGGACCCGTTTCTGTTTGTCGGAGATCATGTTTAGGCACAGGAACTGCTGGGGAGTCCAACAGTCAGTCGGTCTCAGAGAGATGAGATCCGTGTGGCATCTGCTGTTTGCACAATCACAAAACAAGGACCTGCTTCTCCCTGACGCCCACTTCCCCAGTGGCGCCCGCCCAGCTAGGCGTGGGAGACAGTGCAGCTCGGTGGCTGGGGTCAGGCCCTGGCTGGGAGCCGGGAGTGGGGGCCCAAAGCGCCCGATCCCCCCGATGCCGGCTGGTCCCCTTGTTGCTGGGGCCCGTGGTGGCCGGTGGCAGGAGAGGTCTCTGTCTCAAGTGGCTCCACGTCAGCAGGCTTGAGCTCTCCCTGAGAGGGGGAAGAACACTCTGGCAAGAGTCCTGGGGATTGAACCCAGGGCCTTCACACTGAGCTGCTTGCAATCCTGCCTTAGCCTCCAGAGTTCTGGGCTGATAAGCCCTGCACCACCACTCCAGGCTAAGAGTTCTTTTTCTTTACTCTAGGAGGTTTTGTGGGGTGAAAAGGCCACAAAGAGAAGAAGAATCCACCTGGAGAGAGAAGCGCTTTCTGATGGACAAAGGGTTTTTCCAGCCTTGGCTTTCAAGACACTGGTGCTGGGAAGGCCTGCCCACACCCAGGGTCCACCTGGCCCTGGAGACCTGGGGGCTTTCTACTTTCTGGGGCAGGGAGTGGGATTTCTTCCCATCCTCTTCAGTAGTCCAGCAGTAGCAGACCAGGTGCACGGTCCTGGATCGAGCTGTTGAGCTGCCATGGGTTGGCGGAGGTAGAGGGAATCTGGCTGTGTGGCCTCAGGCCACTGTTCACTCTCTCTGAGCCCTTGCGTGTTATCACAGTACTCGCTCAGCATCCCCTGAACCCTTACAGGTGTCGACTAATATCATTTCCCTCCCATGGCCCTGTCCGTTGTAGGAAGTGGACAGTTGGGGGCTCCACCTGTCCATGGCATCCTGAAATGTGGCCTGGAAACCAGCTCATTCCAGAGCTGCTGCCTGGTGATGGCGGCGGGTGGCAGGGCAGGAGTCAGAGGCCAGCAGACAGACTTGCAGGCTTGTGGGGAGCAGTTTCCGGTCCACAGAGGAAGGGTCTTGGTCTTTCCCTGGCGGTGGGATGTGGTCCCGATGTCCAGGGAGGAAAGTGTCCTTCCTGTCCTCCTCCACTCCTCCGTGTGCAGGTGGCAGCCCTGGGGTTCTGCCCAGCTTCCACCCCGGCCACCCTGGAGGGCTGGGGAGGGGCGCCAGGGCTGGGGCAGGGACGGGGACTCATCAGGCTGCACTGGTGCTGTGCTTGGGTGAAATTTGCTTGACGAAGTCACTGCTCTGAAATCAAATTGGCTCGTTTTGATCGCCACTGTTTGGGGTTGACTGGCGACAGGTACCATCTACCTGGGGACAGGTTTAGGTGCACACAGCGTGAGACACGGGGACACCAGTGGGCTCCAAAGGCACGGTGCTGTCCTGTGTGTGGCTGGACCTCAGGCAGTGCTGGCAGCTGCAATTTCAGGGGCTCCTGGGCCTTCCTGTTGCCCGGTGCATGCTGGCTGGCACTCGTGGGCGTCTGCCCTGCTCGAGGAAGGAGAGCGATGCCTGAGACAGTGGCTGTCACCAGATTCCCTTAGCGAGAGAGGCCACCCACTGCCCATTAGCCCCCTGGACAGTTGCTTCGTCCTGCACATGCCAGGGCCCAGGACCTGCCGACGGCGGTCAGCCCAGGTCACGTCCGGGCCTTCTGGGGGCCCTAGGAGAAGCAGTCTTGTCTGGATGCGGTCTCCTTCCTCGTGATCTGGACAGCTCTCAGGATTGCTACTGGTCCAAAAGTGAAGTCTGTTGAGGACATAGCTCAGAGGCCTCCATGGTCGGCAGGCGCTGAGTGCGTTACACTAAACGCCTCTGTCCACGCGATTGGGAAACATCCGGTCAGCAGTGTGCACCGTGCACACCCCCCGCGGGTGACTGGGAGAAGGGTGAGCTTCCTGCTTCTCAGAGAGAGACTGGCAGACAAAGACAGGAGCTAAGGTGGCTAGGAAGAGAAGAAGGGGAAAGAGAGGGAGCAGAAAGAGTGGAGGACCGAGGGGGAGAGAAGCGAGTAAAAGAGGAGGAAGAGAAAGAGGGGAGGAGGAGAGACCGAGGGGAGGCGGGGAGGGAGCAGGGCGGGGCGGGGCCCCCGGGTCCCAGGGACACTGAGGGTTCTGCCTGCGGCACTGGGCGCCAGCCGGTGGGGCCAGGTCCTGGGTGCCTTGGGAACCCGGGGACGGGCGGAGTAATGAGTGGGCACTGGGGGCTGAGTGCTCACTCAGGACGTCACACACGTCCCCCGGGGGCCACTTCTCTAGCCCTGGCCCCAGACGCAGAGCTCTCTCTGAGGACCCAGTGTGCTGGAAGCCTGGCCTTGGGGAGGACAGGGTCCTGTGGTCCCAGCCCTTCTGTCTGTCTGTCCATCTACCAGGCAGGCCCAGCTGGCTGCCCTGCCCTCTTGAGTCCTCTGCTGTCCACACAGCGGGAGCCGGACCTGTGTGCAGCTCTGAGCTGCCCTTCTGCCCGTCCCTCAGGCCCTGGGCCCTTTTCCCATGGAGGTGACGATCCCTGACTCCTGGGGCGACCATCACTCTGCTCTGCTCAGAGAACCAGGCGCAGGGCCCAGCTCCCTGACTTCCTCTTCTGCCTGACTTAAACAGAGCTGCAGGGGCTCCCTGTCTGAGGTCAGTGGAGCTAGAGACAGACTGGGATGCTAGTGTCCTGTTGGTGAGGGACCAGGAGCCAGCAGGGAGAAACCCTGGACCCGGGCAGCCAGATTCACTGGCTTGGGTGCCGGGGGCCTGGGAGGATCGGCAGCCAGTGATGGGCAAGTACCTCACATTTCCTTAGGTCCAGATGCCTTCCCATGATGCACCACCCCCACCCGGCTGGTACTCCGGGCCGGAGCTTATGATCCGGTTGCTTCCGTTTGATCTCTCCTAGCACGCTCCCGCCGTCCACCTGGAGAATAAATGAATGTGGCTTTGCTCCGAAGTGTCACACGAGAGACGTGGCAGAAATCCAAAGCCATCTGATGTGATTGTGGGCTCCTTTCATTATTAATGAAGGAATTAATAATGTATTGATTATTTAATTATGAGCAGTTATTTGTAAGTAAATTCTGTATAAATAATTTATGTCAATGTATAAAGTATAAATAAGTAATTGGTCAGTGAAATGCCGGGTGGTGTTCTGATTAACACAGGCGAATGTGTGCCACCCTAGGGACGCTGGGGCCTAAAGTGGGACCTCGACCCCACGTGCACGTGCTGCTGCTGCTGCTGATCACAGCCCGTGGGGGCATGGACAGGGACGCCAGGTGCAGCGTGTCAGCCGACGCACTGCCTGAGAAGACAGAGCCTGTAACAGTCCCCGAGTGAACGTGTCCGCCTTTTGCAGGATACAAGACGCTCCTGAAAGGGATCTCAGGGAAGTTCAGCAGTGGGGAGCTGGTGGCCATCATGGGCCCCTCGGGGGCCGGGAAGTCCACGCTCATGAACATCCTGGCCGGATACAGGTGAGGACACTGCCCTGCGTGGTGGCAGAGCCTGCTGCTGCCCAGCGGGAGCCTAGGGGAAGCACGAGCCAGTGGTGCTGCAGGGCCTCACCTTTCAGATGGACAAAGCTCTCCCGCCCACCCGCCCTGGGAGCTCAGACCTGGGCTGGCCCTGCCAGTACCAGAAGTAGGAAGGTCAGGGTCAGGACAGGGAAGGCAGGAAGTGCTGGAAAATAAGACCAGGCTTTTTCAGATGGGACAGAGGGAGCACTCAGCCGGGCTGGGCTGTGGTTTCCTTAGTGGTGGAGAACTTTGTAGCAGGCACGGTGGTGCATGCACTCAGGGAGGCTGAGGCAGGAGGATCACCGCAAGTTCAAGGCCAGCCTGGGCTAACAGTGAGATCCTGCCTCAAAAAAACAAACAACAACAACAACAAAAAACCCAAACAAGTGGTCATAGGCGCCCATGTGATCTGCTTGTGAATAGTTACAATCTCAACCTTTTGAAGTGTTTAAAAGAATGCATTTTCCCCCCTCAGTACTGGGGATAGAACCCATGGTCTTCACAATGAGCTCCATCCTCAGCCCTTTAAAAAAATTTCTTTTTTCTTTTTCTTTTTTTGGTACCGGGGATCGAACTCAGGACCTTGAGCTTGCGAGGTGAAATTAGGGCCGGGGATTTAGCTCAGTGGTTCTGCCGCCTGCCTCCAAAACGCAAGGTCCCGAGCTTGATCCCTGGTACAAAAAAAATTTTTTTTTGAGACCAGTCTTGCTCAGTTTTCCAGGATGGGCTCAATCTTAGATCCTCCTGCTTCAGCTTCCCAGAGTGCTGGGATTACAGGCCTACGCCAGTGCTCCCAGCCAAAGCCAGTTCTCAGTTCTCGCTGCTTCTTGCTAACGGTAGTCAACGGTAGCCTTAAGAATACTCCTCACCCACCGTTTTGCTTCCGGGAGTTCCAGATAACCACAGTCAGCCATAGCCCCAAAATATTACATGGAAAATTCCAGAAATACACAGCTCGTAAGCTTGTCGTGCACGCTGCCCTGAGCAGTGCCATGAGCTCCACGCCGTCCCACCCCTTCCCCTTGTGCAGCCTGTCCGCGCTGTCTACACCGCCCGCCGGTTGGGCATGTGTAGCCTCCTGGGAGACCAGGGCCACTGCTGTGACATTGGGTGGCACTCATTTTATCGACAGCGGCCCCGAAGTGCGAGACTGCAGATGCAGGCAGCTTAGAGCAGAGCAGTGTGTTGTTACTGCTGTTCTGTTCTATCATCAGTTACGGTTACTCACCTTTTCCCCTGCTTCATTTATAAATGAAACTTTATCATAAATATCTATTAGCCGGGCAGGATGCTGCACACCTGTAATCCCAGCATTCAGGGAGGCTCAGCCAGGGGGATTGCAAGTTCGAGCCCAGCGTGGGCAGCTTAGCAACTTAGAGACCCTGATTCAAAGGGTTTCAAAAAAATGGAGAGGGCTGGGATGTGGCTCAGTGTGACGGGCTTGGGTTCAGTCCCCAGTAGCACGTGCACACACACACACACACACACACGCATGTGCGCACACGGAGGAGGATGAGGAAGCAGCTGCCAACCTCACAAACCCCACCACGCCGGGGAGCATTTGACAGCATCCCCGTGTCTGTGTTGAGTAGGTGAAGAAAGTGCAGCCGCTTCTCCTTGACGTGCGGTGCGGTCCTTTCCCGGCCTGGGCGTCTCCCTGCAGGCGACCACAGAGCCTGACTGGGTCTCCCGTCCCCCTGTGCCCACAGTCCCTGTGCAGGAGGCTGGAAGGGCCACTTCTCGGGCCCTGCTCTCCCAGCCAGCTGGGCAGCGAGGAGCAGGAGGGGCAGGGCTGATGGCCTCCTCTGTCCCGACCCTGCAGGGAGAGCGGCATGAAAGGTACAGTCCTCATCAACGGGCTACCCCGGGACCTGCGCTGCTTCCGGAAGGTGTCCTGCTACATCATGCAGGACGACATGCTGCTGCCGCACCTCACCGTGCAGGAGGCCATGATGGTGAGTCCCGCCTGCCCCCTGCTCCTCTGGCCTGGATGCCCTCCCTGCAGCATGCTGCCAGCCCTAGGCCCGTTGTTTGGATAGCTACACAGAAAATAACCCCCGTGCTATGAGTTGGATGCACCTTGTTTGTCAGTCATGGTCCCGCTTCTGAGATCATTGATCCCTGACCAAGGCGATGGTTTCCTTAGCAACCAGTCCTCCTCCCACAGTGGAGGGACTTTCCATCCATTGGCTGTCAGGGAGCCCTTCTGTGTCTTTGGCTCAAGTTCCACCCTCCCCAGTGCCCTGGCCTGAGCGTCTCATTCTCTGCCTCACCTGCCTGCCAGGTGCAGCTGTGTGGCCAGGGATGGCTGAGCCCCTGCTGGGTCCCTGTGTCATGTGCGCAAAGCTCCACAGGGTCACCAGCTGTGTGATATTAGCAAAGCAGGTGTGAGGCGGAGCCTGCAGGAGCCACTCCATGAGCCCAGGGTCTCAGGCTGCCAAAGGCCACGTGGGGCTGGGAGCCAGGTGGTACAGGGTGGGCCAGAATAGGGCATGGAATGGTGCAGGAAGTGGAGTGGATCCCACAGACACATGTGCTCATCAGCACGTGTCCTTGTGACAGCTCTGCCACTGTTTCTTTCCGCGGCTCAGAAGTCTTCCTATAGTCTTCACTTGGGTCCTCCGTGGGTAAATCTCGTGTTGAAGGAGGTTGCACCCTTACCTTTGGGGCCACAGAAGGGTCCAGGCGGAGCTGACAGTGCACTTCTAGAGCAACTGCACGGACCTTGGCTACCAAAGCCTAGCCCATGGCTGCAGAGCCCACATCCATGCAGTACTTCGAGCGGTAGAAGCCGCCAGCATCCCTCCTGCTCAAATCGGCCCCTAGCTCTGGCTGCTTATCCAGGCTCACTTAGAGTGTGGCTCTTTGCTCTTCCGCTTTCTCCTTGTCCACAGCGTGAAACCCCCATCAAGGTGGTGTCTCTCCAGGCAGCACAGGGGATGAGGAGACTGGGCTGCTCTCAGATTAGCAGATGGGTGTGTGCAGTGGTGTCCCTGGCCTGGAGAGGGACTGCCCTGTGTTCCTGACTTGGGCTGGGCGAAGCCTCCTCCCCGAGATGTCAGAGAGCAGCAGCCGGGAGTGTTTCACGTGATTCCCAGGGAGTCCTGGCTCAGCAGAGAGAGCCAGGGTGTGATTTCAGATATGTGATCTGCTCTCACCTGCGCTGTGGGGAGCAGAAGGAGAGGGCTTGGCGGGGCTGTTCGCATCCATCGTCCCAGTACTGTGTGTTCTATGGGTCAGAGGACACCACTCCACCCAGATGGTGCAGCATGGAGCCCTGGGAGGGCATTCTGGTGGGCGCAGGGAACTGAGAGGTGTGTGCAGATAGACCAGGACAAGCGGCCTGTGGATCTCCTCCTCCCCAATGCTTGCTGCTCTGCGTGTTTAGTAAACAGTCTTCACACACCACCTGCTGGTCCCTGAATCGCATCTGTGTCCTGGGCGACCCAAGTTCAGCCCTCAGTGGGGCTGGGATGGACTGGGCGGTCCCTGCTCACAGCGATCGCTTTGACTTTCCAGCTCGATCGCTGCTTTCCTTTGCAGACACAGTTGGTGATGCCTCTGTCCTTGTCCAGTTCTGTCACCACACAGTACTGTGAAATACATCTGCTTCCAGAATCAAATCCAGCTAGATTCCGAGCTGGGGAACCCCACTGTGCCCTTGAGAAACCCATCTAACTTGAGCCTGTCACACATTCTCCCACAGAAGGTCCCGTCTCCCGGGTTGCAATGGCCCTGGCCGTCCATGCTGGCCACACGTCAGACACAGCTGTGCATTTCAATGTGCTGCTTCTGCCCCTCGCAGCCACCAGGCAGACTGAAGTGACGCCCAGTGTCACCCAACAGACAGCTGCCCGGCCCACTCTGGGGCCTGGGACCTCTTCTCCCCCGCCCTGGCTCCCTGCCTCAGATTGGACCCTTTCAGCAGTGTCCTGGTTCATGAGGCAGGCGAGGAAGAAACTGAGGCACCCAGTGGGCCCCAGACCATGGGTGCTGGGTGGAGAGTCCTGCTCAGAGAGTCCTGGTCAGCCTCATCCAGGGCTGTCCCAGTAAAGAGCATCTCAGAAAACGGAGCAGATCTGGCTTCCTGGTGGGCTCCACCTCCCAGCTCCTGCGGTGGCAGACGCCCACTGTGGACAGTTGCCAGATACAGGGGTGTGTGGGGCGTGGTTCCTAAATACACAGGGCAGGAGCTGCACTGCTGTCTGTGACCACCCCTGCCTCCCTCGCCACAGGAGGGCAGGCCTGCGGTGCCTGGGAGCTGTCGGGTCACCGGCCCACCCTGGGCCTTGAGAGGCTCGCGCCTGACAGCTGTCCCATCGTTGTCCTTGTTCCTGCAGGTGTCCGCGCACCTGAAGCTGCAGGAGAAGGATGAAGGCAGGAGGGAGATGGTGAGTGTGTTGCTTGGGGCCACACGTGTCCAGGGGCTGTGGCCTCCGTCTGGAGGGAGCATGGGGGCTTTCAGAACTGGCCTTTGTTGCCCCCTTGTCCTTGCCTCTCATGTGTGTGGGGCAGGGTCATCTCAGTGGGTGGCATGGGTTGCAGAGTCCCAGGGATGTGGCTGTGACTCTCAGACCACAGCCTTAGTGCTCAGGTGACCTGTGGACACCCGCCTAGGCTGGGGACACGTATGCTGCCCTTCAGTGCTTAACACAAGGTGCAATTGAAATACATGGTGAATGTTTAAATTTAAAAATGCACTACAGTAAAAGACACATTGCCCCTCAGAATCCTCTCCCTCACTTCGAGCACACTTAGCCCGTCCTCCCTGCCACTTTCTGAAGCAGCTCTGCAGTCCTTTTTCCTGAGTGTCTTTATGAGGGTGATAAAAAATGCAGTATCTGCTGCTGCTGAGCGCCATCCAGTGGAAAGGCAGCTCATGAAAACACGATGCTGTGTCCTTATCCAACGTATTCACCGGATCTGGCACCGTGTGGCTTCTGGCTCTTCCCCAGAGTCAGAATGACCATGGAAGGGAAATGTTTTGAATCCATTCAGGACATCAACATCAAGGCAACCAGGACAGTGCAGTAAAGACACCCAGGAAAGACGACTCCAGAGCTGCCACAGGAAGTGGCAGGGACAGTGGGAGGAGTGTGTTGGAAGTGAGGGGGAGCATTTTGAGGGGATTCTTGGCAATGTATCTTTCACTGTAAGAAATTTTTAAAAAATTTAAACCTTTGTCATAGTTTTAGATCACACCATGCACACTTTAGATCCAATTATTTTTTCTACAACACTAACAATGAAGATGATTAGTCATTGGTTTAAAAATAACCACTCCTCACCCACACATGCTGGCAAGAAAAACTTTGGTTCTTGCATGTTATTAACCAGCCTTTAAAAAAGAAAATAAACAGCTTTCCAGCATGACTGAGATGTTCTCACTCCATGTATCACTTTTCCTGGTTCCTCAAGTTCCCAGGGCGCAGGGAGGGTGTAGGCAGCAGGCCCGGCGGGAGCCCCAGAAGGTCACAGTTGGGGTGACCAGTCCCTTACACCTGGTCCCAGGGAAGCCCAACAGGCAGGCCTCCTCCACTCTCCTGCTAGACTGCTGGGGCTTTCGCTGTAAGGTGAGTTTGTTGAAATCCTGCTTTGCCTTCGGATGTCCTCTCAGGGCCTGGCCCAGCAGCCAAGGGGGCCTCTCCCGGGGTGGACAAGGCCTGGTGTCAGGTGCAGTAGCCAGCAGGGCACAGTGACACCTGCTGAGAACACATTCAGCGCTCTGCTATTTGTGCCATTTTCCCCTTCCTGTTGCAAAGAAGAATTAATAGTAAGCAAATTTAAACCATGTTTGTATGGAAGAAAACATTGGCAACTTGGGGTCGCCTTCCTCCTCCTTCCGCTCCACGCCTGCAGCCTCTGGGGGACTTAACAAGGGGGAGATGCACAGTGCAGCTGCCAGAAACTCATTCCCAAGCTCCTTGCTGCTGCAGAAGACGTGTCACGTGAAACTCTTATCCTGAGATGGCGGGATTGCTCTCACCCAGAGCAGCGGAGATGGAAGTGCGGGCGTCATGTGTGTGTCTGTCCCTCACCCAGGGCAAAGGGACCGGGCTGGTGACGACCGTGCAGCTGAGGGTGCAGAGCCCTGAGTGGACTCTGGTATCTCCTGAACAGCGTGACCTCGACATGCAGATGTCACACGCCGCCCCACATAGCCCATCACCACGCCGAGAATGAGGACAGTGAGGTTATGGACTGAGTCCCCCCAAAAGATACACAGCAGCTCTGACTCCCCAGGACCTCGGCATCACCGTCTGTGGAGCAGGGGCCCTGCCGGGCTGATTCAGGGGAAGTGACCGTGTTGTCATAAGGACAGGAGGTCAGGGCACGCACGCCAGAGAGAAGACCCCGTCCACCAGGCCGGGAGAGGCAGCTGGAAGGACCGATCCTGAGTGCTTTGATCTCAGGCCCACCTCCAGGATCTGAGCCAGTCCTTTCCATGGTGCCAGGCCTGCACGGGTCTTTGTCATAGCAGCCTGCACTGACTCGTGCAGTGGAGTCAAATGACGGCTTTGGTGCTGGGCATGAGGACAAACAGAACCGAAGTGCCCAGGATACAGTCTGCTCAGGAGGCTGGGATGACCTGACCATCAGGACGGGCCTTGCTGGGGCGAGTGTGCCCTTCCTGACCCTGCCTGGAGTCACCTCCACCGCTGCCAGCCTGGGCTCTTCTCCCTCGGGGCAAGGAAACCCTCAGCCGAAGGCCCAGGCCCCTCAAGGCAAAGCTGTTTCCTTCTGGAGGGCTGGAAGTGGCTGCTACCACACGTCTGTGGGTTGTGGTGGCCACAGGGTCACCTCTCACACCTGGTTGCCCATCTCCAGTCTCTGTGGGATCAGAACAGTCCACTGCAGCCCCTCCAACCGCCTTGGGCCGAAGTGGGCACAGACTCCATGGAGGGGGCAGAAACGGCCACTGGTCCCTGGGTTGGGAGGCCTGGCCCACCTGATCCAAACCGCGGCCTTGCAGTGTGAGAGTGTAGCTGCATGGAGAGGATCTCGGCAGGCAGAGCCGAGCGCCTGGGGAGCCCTCCTGACCTGGCTCCTGGGGCCCCTGGACTCCCCAGCACCCCGAGCTGCTGCCTGTCACTCGGGATACGAGATCCTCCCCAGGATGCAGCAGCATCCGGTCCCCGCCCTACTGACTCCTGCCTGCCCCTGGGAGTACCCAGGGGAAGTCGTTTATTCCTCCTAGAAGCATGAAGGAGGGGACGCTGCAGCCGGCAGTAGGAGGTGGTGTTGTTCCCCAGAAAAGGCACCTGAGCCTGGGGAGCCCTCAGCACGGCTGTGTCCCCAGGATGGAGGTCCTCAGGATGGAGGTCCCCGGGGCTGGGCCTGAACAGCAAGGCCCCAGGATGGCCCGAGTTAGGTGGCCATGGAGCTTTGTTCAGGGAGATTTATGTAAACAAGCAAGCTCCTTGTTCATCCTTTCCGAGTCCAACCTGGGAAGCGTCACTTCCGCCACAGCGCCGAGCACAGCACGGGCCACGTCTTGGGGGCGTGGAGAAACGATGGACGGCAGAAGTTCAGGGACCCACAGTGGCCTCCTCTCCTGCTGCAGGGAGCCGGGGCGTCGGGGCACACTGTGTGTGTGGACGCACTGAAGTGAGCTGGGACAGTGGAGCCATCGACCGGTGGTCTGGGAGACCCCCGGAGCCTCGCCCTGGGAAAACATGTTCAGAGCAAAAGTGCCACAAAGGCAGCCCTGTCCACCACCACCACCCCCTCTGGCCTCTGCAGAAGCTACCCTGGGGGCCTTGTGGGGTGCCAGCCCCCAGAGGCACGGTGTTTGAGGAGGAGCCAGTGGTGCTGGCTTGAGGAGGCTGCAGCAGGATTTGAACCCAGGTCTCTGACCCCACACTGCACCTGCCTTTGGCTTGTCAGCTCCAGTGCCCTGGTTCTTTCTATCTCCCGGGCTGGGCTTTGTACTGACCCTGCTTAAATAATGCACAAGTTCAGAGTGGAAATTTTCCCACTGTGAGTCCCTCCTCCTTTCGATGAGCTCATCTCCCTGGAGAAGCTGCTGGCAGGGGGTCCACTGGCCACAGCCCCCAGGGGCCCGTGTTGGCTGCCAGGGGCAGGGACAAGGCCGGTGGATTCTGAGGGAGCCTTGAGGCCCTGTCCCCAGGGAGGGCCCTGGCGGGGAGGTGACAGCCGACCCAGCCTCCAACTGCCCCGGGCCCGCTTCAGAGAAGTCGGGGGACCGCGGGCTCCGTCTCCAGAATGCACCGTCCCAGCCAGCAGGAGGCTCCGTGCAGTGACTGTCTGCTGCAGTCGGCCCACAGATCTTTGCCTGGCTGGCACTTGGAGCTCGTGCTGCTTCCAAGGCCTTTTTCCTGCGTCCAGCAAGCACCACGGCGACCTCCAGGAGGCCTGGCTCACCTGGTGGAGAGCCTTCAGGGAGCCCATCCCCAGGCGTCCCGTGGGTGAGGATGACAGTGCCGGTGAGAGCACATGCTGTTTCCCTTAATGGTCACGGAGACCCTCTGCACCGTCAGAACCCTGATGGGAGCCGGGCGTGGAGGTGCACGCCTGTCCTCTCACCACTCCGAGAGCCTGAGGCAGGAGGATTGCAAGTTCAAGGCTAGTCTGGACATGTCCAGATAAAAAGGGCTGGGGCTTTTGCCCATTGCAAAGGCCCTGGGTTCAATCTCCGGAACTGCAAAGAAGAGAGAATGAAAGAAAAGAAGAGAAAAAAGAAGCAGGACTGTCCATCCCCTGGTGTCCGCCGGTCCACCCTCTGTTCAGATACTTGGCGGACCCCCGCTGCCTGGAGCGCCGGGCCAGGCCCGGAAGTGCGGTCCACGCCCAGGGCCAGCTCTGGGCAGCGGCAAGGTCAAGGCCCCACTGCTCCTTGGCTGCTGGGTGGCGCTGCTGAGTCAGGACGGCGGCGCGGCCCTGCACGCTTGGGAGGACAGCCCCTAACGGGGCTCTGGTTCCACTGTCCCAGGTCAAGGAGATCCTGACGGCCCTGGGCCTGCTGCCCTGCGCCAACACGCGGACCGGGAGCTTGTCGGGTGGCCAGCGGAAGCGCCTGGCCATCGCACTGGAGCTGGTCAATAATCCCCCGGTCATGTTCTTTGATGAACCCACCAGGTAAGCAGGCCGCGGGCTGCCTTGCAGGAAGAGCCCCATCCACCTCCTGCTCCTAGGGGTGGCCCCACCCTTCTGATGTGGCCCAGAGGGGCGGTGGGTGCTGCTCCGCCCACTGTGGGGTCACAGGAAGCACGCAAGTGTGCTGGCTCTACTTTAAGAGGGGAGGCGGTACTGGGGATTGAACCCAGGGCCTTCATTCCAGGCTACGTCCCCAGTCTTTAAAAATTTTTATTTAATGTTTTGAGCCAGGGGCTTGCTAAGTCATTGCCCAGGCTGGGCTTGAACTTGTGATCCCCTGCTCAGCCTCCCAGAGTCCTGGGATGACAGGTGTGCACCACCTGAACATGGGGACACAGACTGGGGAAACGTCTCCCAGGACAGCAGGGTCCCTGTGGCACAGCTGCCCTAGAGGCCAGTACCTCAGGACACACTGAGGAAGAGGCCCGTGACCCCATTTCCGTCCGCCAGCAGCACCTGGGGCTGCAGGGTTTCCTGAGCCCATTCGAGGGTGACAGTCCTAACTGCACCCCAGAGCACTCCGCACAATGCCTTTACTTGTTTTTGCATGGCGCTAGGACAGCTGTGGTCTTCGGACAGGAAGGGCACCACGTGTTTATAGCGCTCTGGTTTTGGGAGGGCTGCTTCCACTTCCGAGAGCCCAGCTTGGCCTCCGCCTCCTGGAGCCAGTCTGTCGGATTAAATGCACTCTCTCCGCTGTCTACCCCAAGCCCGCCACCCGTACTGGGGTCCCCGGGCAGAGAGCCCGGCCCACTTGCTCCTGACGGTGGCACGTTCAGAAGCGGTGGGCCCGGCATTGGCTGCTCCTCATCCTCTTCAGACTCTGCTGTCCTCTCCTGCCAGCCGCTCACCTGTGCAACTCTCCTGCCTCAGCCTCCCAGCCAGGCTCCAGCCAGGCTCACGGCAGTTTCGGCCCTCAGGGTCACGGGGGAGCCTGTTCTGTGGCCCTCGCCCCGCCCAGCACTCAGTGCAGGGCAGGCTCTGTAAAGATATTTTAGAGGGGGTGACTGTAACGAACCCTTACAAGTGCCTCTGGGTCGCTGGGTGTGGTGGTGCACGCCTGTAATCTCAGTGCTCTGGGAAGCTGAGGCAGGAAGATTGCAAGTTTGAGTCCACACTGGGCAATTTAGTAACTTAGTAAGACGTTATCTCAAAATAAAACTAAAAGAGGCTGTAGCTCAGCACGGAGGCCGTGGGTTCAATCCCCAGAACTGCAAATAGACAGGGCCCTGCCTCCCTCCCTCCCTCCCTCCTGCTGAATGCTGATGCCCCAGGAGGGGCGAGCTCAGTAGAGCCCTAGCCCCTCGTTCCCCTTTCCCCGTGGCTGTGGAGTGGAGGGACAGATGCAGGAGCAGCGGGTGTAAGGGAGGGGAGGGACCCCAGGACCTACAGAGCCTCCGCGTGCCTTGGGGCTCTGTCCGAGTGGCACCCGGCCTCCACTGCAGCACCTGGGTTGGGTGGGGAGGGGTCTGCTCACCAGAAGGCTCAGACCACCGAGGCGGGCAGGGCCTGCATCCCCTGGGTCCTCCACAGGTCGTGCCAGGCTCGGTCCCCATGAGTGGCCAGCTGGGCACCTGGGGTCCCCACTACTCCCATCTCATGGACCCTTGCCTTGCAGCGGCCTGGACAGCGCGTCCTGCTTCCAGGTGGTGTCGCTGATGAAAGGGCTGGCCCAGGGCGGCCGCTCCATCGTCTGTACCATCCACCAGCCCAGCGCCAAGCTCTTCGAGCTCTTCGACCAGGTACTGGGCCCGAGGCCCCTGCAGACCCCGCCCCCAGACTTCCGCCTGCCCTGCCCAGACGCCAGCCAGGCTGGGGAAACCAGACCCTTGGTGCTCCTGCTTCTGTTGTTCCCCGGTTTCTGGCTGGCTGGTGGGCTGAATAACTGCTCCACTGGCTGATGGAGCAGGAGCCGACGCTGTCTTCCCAAGAGGGCCAAAGTGGGTGCTTTTTCTTCCTCTCCTCCCCAGCTGTATGTGCTGAGTCAAGGGCAGTGTGTGTACCGGGGGAAGGTCTCCAACCTTGTGCCCTACCTTCGGGACTTGGGTCTGAACTGCCCCACCTACCACAACCCTGCCGACTTCGGTGAGTCCCAGGGAGTCTCCCGCCGCCCTGGGCTCTGCGGTGCTCGGGGCCTCCCTGGCAACCCGATGCCTCCCCCGGGCCCAGGGCTCTCAGAGACTCACGGGGGTGTCCTCTGCCGGTCTTCCTGCCACCAGCATTCCACAGTCCATTGTGATTCTTTAAAACATCAGGGCGCACACTCCCAGAAGTCTGTATTTTCTGTCTCATTTCCCAAATTGTGTTCGTGAGGTGTGTTTCCGGGAGATTGCTTTTTTTTTTCCTCTACTGAAGATTGAATCCACAGCCTTTGCACTGAACTACATCTCCAGCTCCTGTTTAATTTTCGCTTTTGAGCAGGGTCTCACTAAGTCTCTAAATGGCCCAGGCTGGGCCAGAACTTGGGATCTCCTGCCTCAGGCCCCCAGAGTGCTGGGTTTTCCGGGTGTTCAGAGCTCCACCCAGCAGGACTGCTTCTCACCCCGCAGGAAGCCGTCTAGGATGAGGGAGGGGCGAGGTTAAAAGCCCTGGGAGCTCCGGCCTGAGCTGCAGCTGCGTGTTTGTTCCCAGAGAGAAGGGGACGGACTGGGGCAGGTGCTGCTGAGTGGGAGGGGCTCCGAGGCTGCGGGCGGGCGGCCGGGAGAGGCAGAGGTCCCGAGCCTGTGATGCGGCTTTGCCCATCGATGCCGGCTGACAGCGCCTCCGTCCTGCAGTCATGGAGGTGGCCTCGGGCGAGTACGGCGATCAGAACAGCCGCCTGGTGCGAGCCGTGCGGGAGGGCAGGTGCGACGCCGACTACAAGAGAGAGCTGGGGCGCGAGGCCGAAGTGAACCCTTTCCTTTGGCACCGGCCCTCCGAAGAGGTAAAGCAGGCAAAGGCATTAAAGGGGCTCAGAAAGGTAATGCAGACCCAGGGCCCCTGGCGGGAGGAGGACGCCGGCAGGAGCCTCACCACCCTCTCTTGTGGCCAGGACTCCGCCTCCACGGAAGGCTGCCACAGCTTCTCCGCCAGCTGCCTCACCCAGTTCTGCATCCTCTTCAAGAGGACCTTCCTCAGCATCATGCGGGACTCGGTAAGCCGTGGCCGCTGGCGGAGGGGAGCAGCACCCCGATGTGGCAGTGTTGAGCCAGGGCTGGGCTTGGCCGGGCTGGGATAGAGGGACAGCTCCTGGCTGGGACGCAGCCCAAGCCCTTCAGACAGCGGTGCCGGGGTCCCCTGATGATGCCGCCGCGGAAGTGCACAGCCGGCGCCTGGCCGGGGGCGCCCGTGTCCAGTGTGGGCTCTGGGACCCACGGCTCACTTAAGGGCTCCCCCGACCTGTGCCAGAGCCCTGGGTGTAGCCTCCGAGGCACCGGTCCCCGCCTTCCCCCGTTCTGGGGACCCCTCCTCAGGGGCCAGTTTTGGGGACAATCCAAAGAAAGACAGCAACGGCTGTGGATTTAACAGCGGCAAGAGCGAGCTATGCACACACAGGTGTTTGTGTGCGTGCGTGCGTGCGAGTGCGTGTGTGCACGGTGCGTCCGTGTAAGCGCCCTCGGAGCCCGAGCCTGAGGTCGCAGGGATGGGACTCAGGGCCTTGCTGTGTCCAGGTCCTCACGCACCTGCGCGTCACCTCACACATCGGCATCGGCCTCCTCATCGGCCTGCTCTACTTGGGCATCGGGAACGAGGCCAAGAAGGTCCTGAGCAACTCGGGCTTCCTCTTCTTCTCCATGCTGTTCCTCATGTTCGCCGCGCTCATGCCCACCGTGCTGACCTGTGAGTGGCCGCGTGTGCCGGGCCAGGCTGGGCTTCCAGTTCCATCAGTCACACGTGTTCCATGACAGAGCAGGCTTCGCTGTATTTGGTGGGGAAATGCCATGCCTGCGCCGAAGGAGTGAGCCTCGAACGGAAAACTGTGGGGAGGCAGGGCTGGCGGAGGGGCGGTTTCTAAGGGCTTCCCAGCAGCGGCCCCTCAATCCTGCTGCTCACACGCTACCTGGAAGCCGGGCCGGCCAGCCTGGGGCACACATGAACCCCACCATCCATCTCCCAGCAATCCTGGTTGTCTGTGCTCAGGTCTTTGTCTTTTTGGGTTTTTTTGTTTTGTTTGGTCTTTATTTTTTCAGTACTGGGAATTGAACCCAGCGTCTTTGAACTAAGCTACATCCCCAGCCCCTTATTTTTTTAAATTTACTTTGAGACAAGGTCTCACTAAGGCACTAAATTGTCTGGGCTGGCCTGGGCTGGAACTTTACATCCTCCTGCCTCAGCCTCCCAGAGGGTTGGGGTTACAGGTGCAGCACCAGGCTCAGCTTCCCAGATTCTTATCAGAAGAGGAAACAGGCCCTCTTTTCATTCAAACTCTCAGTACTCTGAGAGCCCTCCACAGTGCAGGCTGGAACCTGGCAACTCACAGCTCGAGAAGGCAAGGTGTGTGGTGCGCTGGCTGGCGTCCCTGACCCTCTTCCTGCCCCTCGCTCTCCCCAGTCCCCCTGGAGATGAGCGTCTTCCTCAGAGAGCACCTGAACTACTGGTACAGCCTGAAGGCCTACTACCTGGCCAAGACCATGGCCGACGTCCCCTTCCAGGTGCGTGGGCCCGCGTTTCCAGGGCGGTGGGGGCTCCGCAGAGGGGCCTGCTAGGGCCAGCGGGTGACGGCTCTGCACCCCCAGATCCTGTTCCCCGTGGCCTACTGCAGCATCGTGTACTGGATGACGTCACAGCCGTGTGACGCCGTCCGCTTCGTCCTCTTCGCGGCGCTGGGCACCATGACCTCGCTGGTGGCGCAGTCTCTGGGTCTGCTGATTGGCGCCGCCTCCACATCCCTGCAGGTGCGTGGCGCCCACGGGCACTGGCCGCCTGGGCGGGGCTCGGCACCCCCTCCTGCCTTGGCCCATGGACTTCGGGGGAGAGGGGGTTCGGCCCCGGCTGGTGCCAGGGGTCGGGATCGCGCTGTTACACGGTGCTAGGGGGAGCCCGGCATCGCTCACCGCTCAGCTGCCCGGCGTCCTGCCCGGGACTGCGTCTTGCAGCAGCTCTCCTGTGCCGGCGCCTCTCCGTGTCCCCATGCGTGGGGTCCACCAGCCACCCCTTGACGCCTCCCATTGCGTGTGCCTGCTCCTCTTGGGTCCCCTTGGAGTCCTGAAGCCCAGCCCCACCCCCACCCCAGCCTGCCCAGCCCAGGAGTCTCTGCGGTTGCTCCACGCCTGGGGCTTAGGTCAGTTCAGTCCTTCGAAACCAAACCAGTCCCCAGGCAAGGCTGTGCGCACCTGTAACTCTGGTGCTCTGGGAGGCTGATGCAGGCGGATCACAAGTTCAAGCCCAGCCTGGGGCAACTGAGCAATTTAAACCCTGTCTCAAAAAAAAAAACAAAACTCTTAAAAAAAGGACTGGGGTTGTAGCTTAGTGAGAAGGGCCTGGATTCAATCCGAAGTACTAGGAAAAAAAAAGTACCCAGACTGGAACTTGGGGGCAGGTTGTGCACACCCGAGGCCCCCCGAGAACCCACACTGGGGCCACGCCCTTCAGCTCTCGGCAGGCGTCCACCCGGAGCCGGCCGCCTGGTGTGCAGCCTGTGTGTCCTTGTGGGTGGGAAGAGCCCGGGTCTCTGTCCCTGTCCCTCCTCCGGACTCCCACTTGGGCACTGCTTGTTGCTGCGGGGTCCATGGGCCCCTCCTGGAGGGGTCTGGCAGCCCCGTGGCAAGGTCAGACCCTGCTGGGAGGTGAGGTGTTTCCTTCGTGCCCGCTGCTGACCCCTCCCAGGTCCCCTGGCCTCATCCCCCCACCGTCCTCTCCTGCTGGCCTGGTGCTGGCGCAGCCACTTGGAGACCCCTGCTGCCTGGCACAAGCGGCCCCACCCGCCATGCCCCTGACTGCAGGACCCAGTGCCACCCCAGGACGGAGCCTCAGCCCCACTCGAACCCACAGCAGCTGCGTCCCGAGACGGCCCCCACCTGTGCAGACAGCTCCTGCTGCAAGCACCCACTATGAGCACGTGCACATCCCCCGAACCACACCCATGTACACACATACCCATGCCGGACACTGCACATCACAAGCCACACGCGTCACACGCCAGATGCACCATACACCATACACACCCCACGGACCCACACGCAGGGCCTCGTGGGTGGCGCCCTGTAGTCAGGAACAGTGCGTGGCCGTGGCCGTCCAACCCCAGTTCACTCCCTACCCCGTGGTGCCGCTTGGGAAGCCGTGGGCTCTGCCTGTCGTGTGCCATGTGCTGCCCCTCTGTCCGGGCAGCACAGGCCCCAGGGAGGATGTGCTCTTAGGGGCTCCGGGACTGCCGGTGTCACAGCAGGTTGGGTGGAGCCATCAGACTGGGGGCGCCACCCCATTGTCAGGTGCTGGGTGGTGCTGCCCCTCCGCGGCTGGTCCCCCGAGGCTCTTATGGTTGCTCCTGGTCAGCCTTGAGAGCTCTGACCCTCTGGGACTTGTCTCTCCGGGACGATGCCTGTCCCCAGGGCCACCTGAGCAGAGGGTGCCTGGGACCGCCCCCAACAAGGTCTCTCCCCAGGTGGCGACATTCGTGGGTCCCGTGACAGCCATCCCGGTCCTGCTCTTCTCCGGGTTCTTCGTCAGCTTCGACACCATCCCCACGTACCTGCAGTGGATGTCCTACATCTCCTACGTCAGGTGGGGGCCAGCGGAGGCGGGGCGGGGCGCACTGCTGAGGGACCAGGCGTGCACCAGCCAACACCCAGCGGCCAGCTAGGGTGGACCCCGGGCTAGAGGTGTTGCCGCCTTTCATTTTCTCCCCGATTTTGTGTACCCACCGTCACCGGGAGTGGTGTCCCGGGCTGCCCGACACGGCAGAGTTTCCATATTTCACGTGGAATATGCTGTAACAAGACCCTGATTCTTTGTGAAGCTTGAATAGGAAATCTGATGGGAAACAAGCAGCTCTTAAACGTCTCAGTGTCCTTGAATATGCAGGATATTCTAGTGCCCAGGCCCTCGAGCTCCAGGCTGAAAGTCTCTCTGCACACTGACCCTCCCCGCCCCGAGACACACATGCTGGGACAAGTGCTGCTTCCCTGGATGTCACTTGAGGCCCAGGTGGATTGTGCAGGCGAGCAAAGGGGGAACTGAGCCCCTGGTCCTGGCTACGACAGTCCATGCACCCACCAGCACCGAGAAACCAGACCCATGTCTTCCTGCTGAAAATCGGTGTTTTGGCTGAGCCGCGGCGAGGTGGGAACAGCAGGGTAGATGCTGACAGTCCTTTATTTAAACACTCCATGTGCTGCCAGGGCATCCGCCCACTGCTCCTTCCAGCTGTTGGGAGGATGGAGCCATGGAAGGCATCCAAGTGTTTTTCAATTCGCTTCTCCACTGAATAGACACCTGCTGTTGGCTCCATTTTGTGTTTTTGCTTGGGGCTCTAGAAGAAACAAAATTGGAAAAAAACATCGGAGCATTGTGTGTGCTCATCTTAGGACAGTGACGGCGAACCTCTTAGAGGTCGAGTGCCCAAACTGCAGCCCAGACTGCACTTACTTGTCACACAGTGCCAACACTGCAATTAAACCTGAATCCTGAACTGAGGTTTTAGTTAAGAAAAATTTTAGTCGTCTGATGCCCAGCTGCTGGGTGACTTGGCTCTTGGGCCGACAGAGAGGGCTCTTTGTGCCTGCTGTGGTCTGCCTGCCATAGGCTCACCACCACTGTCCTAGGAAGATGTCGAGAGGTAAGGAAGTGTTCAGGACAGGAAGCTCTTTGGCTCTGTCTTAGTCCCTTCCCTCGTCGCTGGGACACCATGCCCGATACTCACTACCTAAAGGAGAGGTTTGTTTGGCTCATGGTTTCAGACATTTCAGTCCATGGTCATCTGGCTCCAAGGCAGCGGGGCCTAGTGAAGGAGAGCTGCTCACTGCATGGAGGACAGGAAGCAGAGAGAGAAAGGAGCCCAGGAGGGAGAGGGACCCTTCCGGGCCAGACCCCCAGGACTGCCTCCTCTGCCCAGGCTTCACCTCCTAAGAGCGGTCAGCTGTGAGCCTTGCTGTCCAGTCACCTCCCAAGGCTGCCCCTAGAGCCCAGGAGGGTGGGGGACATCTAGATCCAGACCCAGCAGGCAGGAAGAGGCCGGCCGAGCATCAGTGGTGGCGGCAGCCTGGCATTCTGCAGACGGTCCTCTCACGCGCAGCGCTGTCCATCCCCCTAGGTACGGCTTCGAGGGTGTCATCCTCTCCATCTATGGCCTGGACCGAGAAGACCTGCACTGTGACATCGACGAGACGTGCCACTTCCAAAAGTCGGAGGCCATCCTGCGGGAGCTGGACGTGGAGAACGCCAAGCTCTACCTGGACTTCATCGTGCTGGGGATTTTCTTCATTTCCCTGCGCCTCATTGCCTATTTTGTCCTGAAGTACAAAGTCCGGGCAGAGAGGTAAAACGTCTGACACCTGGAAGGAGGAGCGTTAAGATGTGGTGGCCGAGGGTGTCCCCAAGTGGACTCCTCCGACCCCACCCTGGGAGCCGCCTGGGCGCGGGGGGTGGTGCCCGGCCTTCGGCTTCTCAGCTCAGCCTGCCGGGGTTGGATGTTCTCGCACTACCTTTTCTAGCTTTAACTAGGAAGACGTAGAAGGGTTTTGTTTTTACATGAAGGATTTAAAACACCGAAAAACTGGGGCAGAATTTTAACATTGCAACAAGCTGGTGACAAGAGGCCTTCCCCGCCAATTTTGTCCTGCTGTGGAGGTGACATAGTCTGGATGGGGAGCCAGGACAGCTTCTCTGTGGGTCACCTGGGGAGTCCAGGCCGTGGGGGGCAGAAGGCCCAGCAAGGAGGGGTCCGTTTTATGACTTCTTTCTCCTGGTTTTCTAAGATTTGTCTCTTTTCTGACGAAGTCACTTTCAGAGCCAAAAGTTGATAAATTTTATTCATTTTAGGAAGTGTATCTTTAGCATTAGTGAGGGACGTGTTCAGGGTAAATAACTGACTGTGTTGAGAGACAGGGGAGTTGGACCCGCCTGCCCGCCTGCCTGCAACCCACCCACCGCGGCCTCCTTTCTGGGTAGGACCTGTGAACAGTCAGATGCAGGCTCTGGGTGGGGACAGTGGCTGTGCTGCAGGATCCCTGAGTGTCACACAAACAGTTCTCAGATGAAACTGGCGAACTCTTCTGTGGCATTTCCTTTCCCATCTGCTTCTTATTTTAAGCAAAAGATGATTTCTTCCCAAATTTCTGACCACCTTCATTTTGCCTAAAAAAATATCATGCAGGTCAGCCCAGTTGATTTTTAAAGAATATTTTCTTTCCTCATCTATCACATGGACTACCTCCACTGTACCTGGGAAGCTGAGCTGGGGGAAGTTTGGGGTGGGACCCTGGAGCCTTGGGGCAGCTGGAGCTGGAGGGACCTGGGCCGGCTGGACAGGGTGGGTTTGGCCACAAGGTCCCCATTAGGAAGACAGAGTCACCTTCTCCTTCCAGGGTGCCGGGACCCTCGCATCAGGGTGGCCCTTGAAAGGCTTCCCTTAGTGACAGGTCAGCTAACTTCCCTTGAGCCACAGTTTTCTCATCTGTAAATAATTGTGCTAGATCATGCTCAAGGTCCTGTTCAGGTCTGAAAGGCTGAGAGATTCCCGAAGCCTTCATTTCCTACTCATATAGAGAATGGAAAGGGTCCAGAGTTGCCTGTCTCTGTGGATTTGGCTTTAAAAACACTTAGAGATTTCTTATTTTTTTTCACTTCTAGATCTTTTTTTTAGCAAACACAGTTGAAATCTATATTAAGCTGTACTATTAAGCTTGCTTGTTCTATACAAATAGAGGGTTGCCTTAGATTCAGTTTTTAACCAGGGTCCAACTTAGCCTTTATAAATAAAGTCTTGATTTAATTTCGAGTGTAATTGCCATGTGCATGGAAGGTCTGCTTAGCAGTTGCTAGAGAAATACACAGGAAGGGCAAAGAGAAGTCCTTGATTGAGGTCGGTACCGGGAGAAGCCTGTCCCCTAGCCTTTCCTGTGTGGCTTGGTGTTGTGGGGCTGTGGTCTGTGACCTCAAGGAGGGTCTGACCTCCCAGGTACTGTGCCCGGTGGGGCCACGGGGCTATCCCAAAGACAGCGTCCCCTCGCACCCATGTCAGAAACAGTGCGGTTCCCCCATGTGCACATCCGGGCTCCACAAGCACCCCAGCCCTTGAGGAAACCTTTCCCTAGGACTCCGCACTCCCTGCAGCCCACTCTCCACCAGGAGCAGTTATTCCCACCCTGTGTAAGTGAGGGTCTGGCCAGAATCCCCAAAAGACCCGTCGTGGGACAGGAGGGCCGGTGGCCTGGACAGGGCGACACAGGATCGGTTTTTAAAGGACTCGGAGAGCAGGGGACAGGGAGGAGGTGGCCCCTGTGCGGGGTCCTCAGGAGGCCTGGCTGGCGTGACAGGGTGTGACCCTGGTCCTCTTCCCCTGTCCACAAGGCCTGGGTGCAGCTCCCCGGCTCCCTCTGCTTCCAGGGCTCACAGGCTGTCATCTGGCTTTCTGGGCCGCTCCTTGCTTGTGCTCTGGTTTGGTAGGACCCTTACTCCTGGGACCTAAGCGTCCACGCAGCCATCCAGGATGATTTCTGAATCATCGTGGGAAGAGGCGGGTGGTGAGCTCTGTTCCCTCCGCTGGGATTGCAGCCCAGACTCCCCAGATCTGACGCCTCAGGGGCCTCTGACTGTAAGGGCCACATACACCTTTCTCCTCCACTGAAAGGAAGCGTGAAAGCCGGGTGGACGTGCGCCCCCCAGTGTCAGTGGAGGGCACTGCAGTCCAGGGGGTGTGCTCCAAGGAAACTTGCTGGAGGAGAAAGGGGGTGCACGGGCTCCTGCCCAGGGAGCCTCCTCTTTGCTCCCACACCCAGCATGTGCTGCCTCGTCTCTCCTCCTCTGCCCAATTCCACAGAGAGAATTAAGCTCCCAGAGGTCGCCGGGGTGGGGAGCCATACTTGAGCCTTGTACCACCAGGGCTCTGTGGCCCCAAATCCGAATCCTTCACCTTGGGGGCCCAGCTTCAGGATCAGGAAATGGAACACAGAGCTTCCAGGTCAAAGCTCATCTAGAAGCCCAGTGAAAGGGTGTTCTCCCAGCCCAGGTGCGGAGCGGAAGCAGGCTCCTCCCGGAGGACCGGGTGCTGGGTTGCCTGGCTGTCGACCCGGGCAGGTGGGGGCTCTGGGCTTGGCCCCAGCACATGGCCGCTTGGCTGTCCTCTCCTGGCAGGTGCAGGATGCTGAGGCGAGGAGCCATGCAACAGTGTGCCCAGGCCTGGAGCTGGAGGGGGGCGGGGGTTACCAGCAGGCGCAGGCGGAGCGGGGAGGTGTCCGCACCACACCCAGCTCAAGGGAGAGGTCACCACTTGGGGCTGACCTCGCCCTGCCACGGAGAGGGCATCCTACCCCTGCCTGGGCTCAACTTCCCAGCACAGCCACTGGCCAGCTTCTGCTGTGCATGTGTGTGTGTGCATTTGCACACGTGCACACAGGTGTCTGTTCATGTGTGCAGGCCTGCGCCAGGGTGTTGCTTGGTGGGGTCCCTCTGCCTTGCTGCCCTCATCCCCAAGGAGAGAGAGTCTCTTCTCATTTCGTGCCTGTGCTGCCGACGGAACCGGGGTGAGCAAAACCCACTGGGCCTCTCGTCATAGCCAGCTCAGTGGGAAAGGGACAGAAAGTAAAGCAAAGCCCAGAGGGCCCGTGGGAGATGCAGAATGTGTGAGTAGAGGCTGAGATACACTTCAGCAGTGAAGACTGCTAATAAAATATTCTGTATCAAACTCAGTGTCCAGTGCTTCAGGGACTGGCTCAGCTTTGCCAGGTCAGCTGGCATTTAGGCTGCACGTGGGGTGCCCTTCCCTGGTGCCAGCCAGAGACAGTGGCCTGTCTCTTTCCGGGACAACCAGGTTTTACAGTGAGCAGGGACCTGGGTGGGCTCGCTCTGTTCCATGGGGCACCTTTCTTTTCCCTCTGTCCCCTCCCTCTCCAGGATGCCCACCTCCAGGGCCCCATACAAGGTGTGATCAACAAACACAGTGAATGCCTACATTTAAAAAAAATTTGTTACAGTAAAACACATAATGCCATGAATCCTCTCAAAATTCTCCTCTTTGCTTCCAACACACCCATCCCATCCTCCTTGCCCCTTCCTGCAGCGGCTCTGGAGCCCTCTCTCCTGAGTGTCTTTGGCTGCGCTGTCCTGGCTGCCTCGATGTCCTGAATGCATTCAGAATGTTTCCCTTCCTGGTCATTTTGACTTTGGGGAAGAGCTGGGAGTCACATGGTGCCAGATCGGTGACTAAAGTGCATGAGTACGCAGTGTCAGGTTTTCCTTTGACAGAAATTGCCATAACCAGTTGATCAGCACTTGGTGATCAAAAATTTTTGGAATGTTTAGATTTTAAAAATTTGTTGCACTAAGACCCATTGCATTAGACCCTCTAGATACTCAGACTGCTGCCCTTCACTTGAACTACACTTCTCTCATTGATTTGGAATTATTATTATTGTTATTGGTACCAGGGATTGAACCCAGGACCTTGCGCTTGCCAGGCAGGCGTGGTGCCACTGAGCTACATCCCTGGCCCCTCCCATTGTTCTTGGCACCGTGTCTTTTACTATTGGAAGTTTTCTTTCATTTAAACATTCACCACCGTTTTGGGTCACCCTTGTGAGTGGCAATGCTGGCCCCTGGTCAAGAACACAGCGCAGAGGTGCGGGGGTGACTCACCGGGGTTCCTGACTTGCAGCTGCTGCTGGGAGGTGGCAATGTTCCTAGCTCTGACAGAACTTTGCTCCCCAGAGGGTGCTAGGCCTGGAACAGTGGCCCATCCATTTCCAGGGAGTCGCCCGGCCACCACCCATCCTGGGGCCCTTCATGCAGCCTCTCCTGTGGGTGACCCACACCAGGCCCTGAAGGGGAAAGGCAGGAAGGCCCAGGGCATGTGGAGAACCCCGTATTCCTTCTGGAGATGCCAGGATACCACTTAATCCAAATGGTCCCTCAGTTTGGTTTTTCTGAAAATATTCTAGAAACTCCAACAGCTATTCGATTTGTATACAATTTTTTATGTTCCATGACCTTTTGGATACGGACTTTCTGAGCTTAATCATAAATATTGTGAATTTCTTGGGCTGACTAAAATAGGAGTAAAACATCTGCCAGGCATGGTGACACACACCTGTAACCTCAGCAACCAGGAGGCTGAGGCAGGAGGATTGCCATGAGTTTGAGGCCAGCTTGGGCTACATAATGAGTTCAAAGCCAGTCTGAGCTATATAACAAGACCCTCTCCCAATAAAAATAAAATAAAATATGAGTAAAGCATCCTATCACCCACATTCCTAATGGAATAGGGCCCCGTTCCAGTCCCACACTCCCTCCCGGGGGAGGTGGGGGCCAGTGTCAGAATGGGGTACCGTGCAGCCTCTTGCCCTCCCTTTCCATTCATTCCACTCCTTGGAGACATATTGGGGCGATGCCTGGTCACTGGGTAGTTGGAGCATTGCTACCTTTTATCTGGCAAGGAATTGTTTAACTATTACTCCTTCGTAAGCAAAAATCAATGCAAGGAACTTTGTAATTGGCGTGCAAGCGTGCGAACATATCTAACTGATGTGCAGCCGGGCGTCTGTCTGGAACGCTGTGTGGTCCCTTGGGAAGCAGGCCTCGGGAGGCTTCCCTGGTGGAGAAGAACTCCGAGCACTTTTCTGCAGATGCACACTCACGTGCAGAGCAACAGCGGTGTCGGCTCGGGACCCCTCAGTCCCCAAAGGGGCGCCCAGCCTTGCAGACCCCGGGACCTGGGCTTAGACTCCGCCCTCCACACCTCCCTTGCCCATTTCTGCCTCGGTCTCCTTAGATTTGTACCTGCAGTTTTTGCAGATTTGAAGCTGGTTTCTGAGATTAGATGCCATTTATGAAAAACGTGATATACATAAATAAAGCATCATTATTTTCAGACGTCTATTCCTCCCTGCTTTTAGCTTCCAGCCACCCCACCGGCTCTCAGCCCTGCTGGGAGGAAGAGGCATCGAGGTCTCTGCTCCTCCTGACGCTTGGGGTTCCCTTGTGGTGTTGAGGTGGGTTTGGGGGAATTGGGGAGGAAGTGCGTGCGGGAGGGGGTGGCCCCAGCCGGGCAGGGCAAGCTCCAAGCACCTGCCTGGGGTCGGTGGAGCCGGCTGCAGACCATGTGTGGTCACACCCCTGCCCACGAGGGAGAGCCCACCAACCCACAGCCAAGCGCCTGTGGAAGCCGCAGGGTGGGGTCCCCACTCTGGCTCTAAGAGCTGCTCGGCACCCGTTGCTGGAATATTCCTGGAATCCAAGCCACCCTTCCCTTCCGGTGGATACTTCTGTGGTTGTTTGCTCATCATGCCATGCTTTAATAAATGTGAACGTTTGCCAGACATCCTTCTGGCCTTGCAGCCCGCCTTCAAACTGCAGAAGTCTTCCTGGGACACAGTGGGAGCAAACCCACGCCATCTACCAGTGCTTGAGAACGCGGACTCCTCTGGGTTGCCCCGGGCCTGGGTGGTGGTTGGGGTCCAGGACGGAGCACCAGAGGCACGGGTCTAGGCACTGGCAAACAGTTCTGCCAGAGAGAAGCCTGCAGCGTCCAGGCCACTGGGGAGAAGCTGCAAGGGAGTCCTGTGTCCACAGCAGCAGGGGCCCAAGCCAGTTCCGGAAGTGTGTGTCATTTCCACGTCGGCGAGGAGAGAATTTGATAGCAAAATGATCCGGGACCCAGGGGGTCACAGCTCGGTGTCTGAGCCACCCTGAGCCCTGGTGGGTGTAAGTTTTAGAGGTGCCCAGGCCAGGAGGTGGGGCGCGGCCCAAGGGGCACTGGGCCTGGGCAATCCTGTGACTGGTCCTCCTGCCCAAGGCCTACTGAGGCTCCCGTCCTTGCAGCCCGGTAGGAGGGGGGTGCGTGCCAGGCTTGGGGCGTAGCAAAGCTGGCTCCCGGGCAAACCCCGATGGCAGTGTCTCGGGTTGGACCTGGTGGGGCTGAGGGACAGTCCGCTCTCGGGGAGATGAGCGTTGCTCCTCCTCAGCAGAACCCGTGGGTGGGGAGATGCGAAGCAGTGACTGGGCCGGGGTCTAAGACCTGCAGCTTGGGGCGGGTGAGCGCCAGGATTTCCTGGGACAGAATGAAGCCCTCCCCCGGAGGAGGGGGGACAAAGGAGCTGGCCCAGGGCAGCCTTTCCTGGGCTCTGATTGCCTGAAGGAGGCCAGCCAGGGAGGAGCAGCCCAGCTGTCAGTGCTGCCACTGCCCCTGTGCCCAGGAGTGGGTGAGTGCCGGTCCCCTGGGCGGCTCGGGAGGCTCGGCCTGGGCCACATGGTGCGGGGAGCATAGGGATTCTACCTGCGGCCCCAACAGCTCTGGGGGCCCCCGGAGAAAGGAGGAAGCAGCCCAGTGATGGGGAGGCAGTGCCAGGGCCTGGGCCTCCCACCGTCTGGCCCTCCCTGTTCTGGGCTGGACACGGAGGGGCTTTATACAGAAAGGCAGAGAACACGGAGGTCGACGTCTGGGATCTTTCTTTTCTTTTTTTGGTACTGGGGATTGAACTCTGGTCCTTGCGCTTTTGGGGCAGGCGGCGGAACCACTGAGCTAAATCCCCGGCCCCTGGGATCTTTCTTTTTTAGTTCAAAAGACATGATCCAGGTTTGAATAGAAAAGAAGGGGAAAGACAGTGATTGAAGTGGGTGGGCGGCTCCTCTCAGGACCGTCTGCAGGGCCTGGGCAGGGGACGAAGGGCCTCCCGGGAGGGGCCCACCCCAGCAGCAACCCCTCCTCTCTTCATACCAAATATTTCCCAAGACCCCTTTCACTACTCTGAAATGAAACTGACTTCTAGGTGTGACTACACACAGACTCTAAAGGAAGATATGCACAATGTCCTACAAAAGTAAGAGTTGCAAAGTCTGGCTCGGTGGTGCATAACTACAATCCCAGTAGTCAGAAGGCCGAGGCAGGAGGAGCTCCAGAAGTTCAAGGTCAGCCTGGGGTACACAGCAAGACCCTGTCTCAAAAAAGCAAACAAAGAGACGTGAAAGGAAAGCAATACCATGTCATCACATGTCGGCAAGCGTGCGGCCTGGGGCTGGGAGGAGCCCGGACGTGAACGGGCCACCCGTGAAGGCTTCTGGAGTGAGCACTCGGCTGCAGCTCTGAGAGAAGGGCCGGCTTCCTTTGCTCTGCCCATTGTGCCTTCCTGGGCAGTGTGGGTGGTCTGCACCCCGAACAACAAACACAGCTTTGTGTCGGGGCCTAAAACCTCAACCAGGCTCTGGGCTCCAACAGATCTGAAGCCACTGTGAGCTCGGGTGGGACACGGGACAGTCCCGGCCACCTCAGGCCAGTGGGCACACGGGGAGCCTGCCAAACCCCGCATGGCAGTGTACCTGCCCTCAGGGACTGGGGCCCAGGGGCCTGACCACCCGCAAGAGGGTCTGGGACCAGGCAGCCAGAACAGCTTGGAGATGGCCTGTGTGTGCGGCCAGTGACCCCACTGGGGACCCCAGGAAGGGAGCGGGCAAGAGCTGGGAGGGGCTGCAGAGGAGCCCAGCCCTTCCTGGGCCCCGGAGGTGGTAGGAAGACCCTGTGGCAGGCTTGGACTTGCCTGGTGACTTGAGGAGCTTCCAGGAAATGGTTTGGTGGGCGCTGGAGGCTCTCTGAGGTGGAGGTGGGTTGATCAGCTCGGGGGTCTTCATTTCATCCGGAAGGCGAGAGGGCCCGCCCTGCAGGCTGCAGTCCCGGGAGCACCCCCCCCCCGCCGCTCTCAGCAGCCAGCAGAGGGCGCTGCGTGTCATTCCGCATGGGCTGCAGCTTGGTCAGGTGTCTGCTCCCCTCCCGCCCTGGGTGTCCTGGGAGCCCTTAGGACCATGAGACAGCCGCCTCGGCTGCTGTTGGGGGCTGGGGGAGGCAGGAAGCACCCAAATTCCCAAGGGAAGTAGAGGCAGACAGGGCACCCAGTGACACCCCAGGCCGCAGGAAGAGCCGAGAACACCCCGTTCCCTCAGTCCCATGACAGCACAGAGGGAAAGGGCCCAGTAATGCACTGTTCATCCCCGAGAGGCGCGGGGCCTGCCCAGCTGAACCCCGGAAGTGAGTGGACGTGGTTTGCTTCCGAGAGCGCCAGGGGAAAGAGGTCTGGTTAGGGTTAAAGTAAACTTTATTTAGGCACACAGGCGAGCCTGGTGTCATGGTGCACACCCGCAATCCCAGAGCGCTGGGAGGCTGTGGCAGGAGGATCAGCAGTTCGAACCCAACCTGGGCAACTTAGCACCATAAGGAGACGCTCTTGGGCGCCTATCAGCAGCACCTCAATGTCCTGGCATCAGCTGGGACTTGCCGTCCCCCGCCAAGGCAGGAGTCAGCACAGGGGGTCTGTGTGTTTGGGTGGAGCCCCGAGAAGGGCGGGCGGGCTGGGGACTGTGGGGGAGGGGGGAGGGAGGGTGGCCAGGGCCAGCTGGAGGGCGTCTGGGCCCTAGGGCTGGGCTTGCTTCCGGCCTGGCCATCGGGAACCTCGAAGCCTGGCTGTCAGTTTCCCGGTGTTTAGCCAAATCCCCAAGGCTGGGCGCTTACAACAAACAGATTCTCTACCTCCTAGTGCTGGGGACCTAGGGCAGGGCGGGTGGCATTGCAGCGGCAGGGGCAGCGCAGGGATCAGGTGTTGGGAAGGAAGCGGGACGAGGGCCAGCTCTCCTCAAACAACCTGCATCCGGAGCTGACTTCCTCCCAGCACCGACCCCTCCGAGCGTGTGGCCCCTGAGACTCACGCACAGGTGCCCGAGCTCCGGAATTCGAAGCCATGGGGACGACACAGCAGCGCCGTGGGGAGTCCGGGCCTGCAGTGCAGCCTCCGCATTGGGCATTTCCTGTCTGGGCCAGCTCCGACTGTGCTGGAGGGCGGGAGAAACTTGCGGAAGAGGCAGGAAGCCCTGTTCCCTCTGTGCTGGGACCTCGGGGCTGGAGGGACCGAGCCGATCCCCAGGGCCAGCGAGTGGGTCTGGGGTGGACAGTGTCCGGTGTCCCCACTCCAGGGGACAGAGAGGGAGCACAGCGCGGGCGTTTAGAGCCCATGAGGAGAGAGCAGAGCGTGGGGACAGCGGGGCAGCAAGCAAGCCTCGAGTTCATGAGCGGTGGCCTCTCGATGACGAGGACGAGGGAGGGAGCTGCACTCGGCTGTCCACCCCGGCCCAAGGTGGACACCACCACCGCACCTGAGGGCAGGGACCCTTAGTCCGCCCCGGGATGCTCAGTGCCGCACAGGCTGAGCATGGTCACCCTGAGAGGGAGGCAGAGCTCAGGAGCCCAGAGCGACAGGCTGCTGGGAGGGCCACAGGGTTCTGCAGGAGGAGGCCGGGCTGGGCACAGCTCCAGGGGGTCCCCCAGGCCTGCAGGTGGCCCTGCTGGGCACTGGAAAGGCCCTGGGGCTTCAGATTTCCAGACCGGGTCCTCTGCATTGGGGCTTTTGGACGTAATTGCCCAAGGGACATTGCCCCTTAGCTGCCAGACGAAGGTGGCAAAGCTCGAGCTCTAAGACCGGGGTGGGGGGGGTTCCCACTAAGGGAGCCAGGGTCTCTTTCCCAGGGAGGAAACTGGGGAACCCTACCTCTGGGGGCCACTGTGAGTGTAAGGGGCCGCTGTGGGGTGTGCCTGCAGAGCCCCATGGAGCAGTGTCATGCAGCCTGGCAGGTGGCACAGCTGGGCAGCGCTGGGACCTGGGTGTGGGTGGGGGCAGAGCACCCTGGGGAGTGGGATGGGGTGGACACGCGGGGGACCTGTGGAGGGCTCTGCAGGACCCTAGGTCACCTGTTCTGGGGACACTCGTTGCAGACACAATAAAAGCCCCTCAAAGTGTCAAGAGTGTTCAATTTAAGGAGCAAATAAATACAGTGCCAGCCTATGAGGGGGGTTCTTGGTTTGATATCTTCACCAAGAAACACACCAATGGCTTTGTTGTTGTTGTCATTGCTGTTTTCGTGGTACTGGGATTGAACCCGGGGCCTTCACACTGGGCTATGTCCCCAGCCCTTTTTTTATTTTGAGTTAGGGTCTGGCTTAATTGCTCAGGGTGGACTCAGACTTTTGATCCTTCTGTCTCAGCCTCCCAGAGTGCTGGACCACAGGTGTGCACTGCCACGCCTAGCTAGTAGTGATTTTTAAAACTTAGATGTGAGATGTTTCTTCTCAGCTTACAGAGGAGGGGTCACATGGAAGGTGCCAGTCCTTGCCTGTCATGTGGGCCGCTGGGTCTTGCACCTGTTGGGGCTCCCTGGGGTCATTTGACACCCCCCCACACACACACAGGAGAATAAACGTCATGGCAGAGGGTCTGGGCATGAAGACGCGTCCCATGCTGACATGGGGTCTTTATTCTTTAGGACACGAGGCCTTGACTCTAACCCCACTCAGGAGCACACCTGCCAGGAGCAGAGATGGGCGCTCTCAGCCGCCTGGAGCTGGGGTGTCCATCCAGGGTGGTCACAGGTGGACTTCAAAATGTGCATTCTGGGGACAAAGCAGAGGCTCCGTGAGCAGCCAGGCTTCTTCGGGTCAGGGTGGGCTCAGAACAGCCCGGGACCCTGCTCGGGGCAGGTGGACCTGGGCAGTCCTGAAGATGATGGGGAGGTGCTCCCAGGAGACGGGTGCAGGGAAGCCCGGAGGAGCACTGGCGATGCACCCTGTGGTCCTGGCCCTCACCACCCTCTTCCTGCTCTGCCCGAGGAAGAGGAGCCCTGAGCGGGGGCCAGGCCTCCATCTCCAGTTGGGGACCAAGCAGCTGGGACCCGGCCTCCCTCCTGCTACCCCAGGACAAAGGGCATGGCTGCCTCCCTCGGGTACCCCTTCCAGGAAGGTGCCAGGCCCAGGTATGTCCTTCCCAGACTGTGCGCTGGCACTTGGGCATGCATGCCAGGTGGTGGATAGCAGACAGCCACACCCATGACAGGGTGCGCCTGGGCCAGTGAGCCAGGATGGCACACCAGCTGCTGTCTGCACTGGGCTCCTCCACCACACCCTGCAAACCCCCAGCTGCTGTCTGCTGTGAGCACCTTACAGATGCAAGGGACTCTGGGTGGCCAGATTGCTGATTGGCTTCAGGGTCAGGCCAACTTCCAAAGCTACCCACTTCCCGTTTTTCTCTAGGACAGTTTTTAAACTGGCTCCTTCTACACAGCACCTTCACTTTGAACACCTCTTTGAGAGTATTGCTTTTCTGTTGTATGGAAAGGGGCAGCCTCTGGCCACTAGCAGCCCTGGCATGAGGCCTCGAACGGGAGACAGGGTCGGTGCTGGGTGTCCTGCTGAGGCCTGGGCCTGTGGCTTCCCAGGGACCTGCAGTGTGTTCCTCTGGCTGTCCCAAACCCTGCACACCTCTGCCCCGGCCTCACCTGTCTCCTGCAGAGGCTTAAAGCACCAGGGCACGTTTCTGATGCTGGAGTCAAAGCAGCAGCCTCGGTTGTTGCACTGCTTCTGGGTGACTCCAGGGTAGCCACAGTCCACCCTGTCCTTGGGTGGAACCACGCACTGGTTGGGCGCTGTGTAAACCACATCCGGGTCAGCTGCTGGTGCTTCATTTGGCACGTCTGCCCCTCCCCACCCACGCCCCAGCCGTGCCTCTGCCCGGGGTGAGGGGCTTCCTGAGGGGATTTCACAGAGAAGCCACCTGCACAGGCATCTCTCACATGCTGGCCTTCCCGGGCCTGGGCACCCCCAGCTGTGGGGCCCACGCCAGTCTGGGTCCCCTGGACCCAGAAACAGAGCTCTCTTCCTTGTTCAAAAGACAGAAACGTGCCCCTTTTCTTAGAATGGAAGTGCAGCGGGAGATCTAGACCCCCAGAGACACGGAGATGCATGCTGACTGCAGCTGAGTGCTGCTCTCCGTCTGCCTGTCCTCGCGTCCCTGCAGGGTCAGGCTGTCACAGAAGGACCGCACGTCCCTCAGGGTGTGAGTGTGTGTGTGAGTGAGTGCTGGAACAGCCCGTTTCTCCTCTGCCTTTCCTGTGTCCCTGAGTCTGTGGAGTGAGGTGGCGGGACCTGCCTCGTCAGTTAGAAATCCCCTGGCAAAGAAGGCAAGGGCGTGGCCAGCGTGGCCTCAAGCCCGGATCGACCCCCGGCCTGAGAGTGTAGGTCCTGCTTCCGGTGACTCCCTCTACGCCTCAGTTTCCTCGCCTGAGGCCGGGGACAGGAAGGCCATGATACAGGGCTATTGCAAGAAAAACCATGCACCTGATAGAAGCAAATTGTCAAGCTGACCCAGCTCTGGAGCCCGAGTGCCCTCTCTCTGGGCCTCCGAGTCCCTGTCCCAGGGTCTGTCCCCAGCCCATGCCCAGGGCAGTCAGAGCAGTACTCACACAGGCCCACGTACTCATCAGCCCAGCCCGAGGACCCCAGGGCCATGACCAGCAGCAGCAGCCAGAACGCTCTGGTCTCCATGACGACGTGTGCGCTCTGAGACATCTGTCGCCGATGTGCCTCTCGCCAGGGAGGTCCGTTTATACCCGCATCCGCCCGGCCTCTCGTGTCTCGTCGTGTTTGTTTGGGGAGGGGACCCTTCCTGGTCTCCGGCTCCACCCGCTTCTGCCCTGCCTGATTGTAAAGCTCTGAGCAGACTCCTCTGGGCGCTGGGGTGTGAGCAGTGCCACCTCCGACCCTCGACCCTCGACCCTCGACCCTCCTCGCAGGAGCAGAGCAGACAGAGCTCGGTGAGGAGCTCCATGACCCGACCCCAGCTCAGTCTGGCCGTGCTCCCGCCCGAGGGAGAATTGTTTCTCTTTTTCGCTTCTTACCAGCAAAACCATTTTTTGTTAGCTACAGTTATTCGATGCATTTTAATAAAGACAGGATACACACCTTGGTCTTGGAAATCGCCTGTGGAGACCGTTCCGTGCAGACGCTGGCTCTCTGGCAGAGCGCTGGCCCTCCAGCGGCCTGGCTCTGCACCCTCCCTTGGCCCACCCCCCAACACAATCGGGAAGCGGCTAAACAACTTTTCCAGGTTAGGTTTCTCTTTCTCTTTCTTTTCTTTCCTTTTCTCTTCTCAATAAATACTATGTCTCTTTTTAAAATAAGAGCTGGCTTTTATATTAATTAATTTTGCTTTTTATTTTTATGGGTCCACGTTTGCCGTACACGGTGCTGACTCTCCTTGTTGGAGTTGGCACATGTGCATAAGACAACTTCTTCTTACATCCCTCCCCTTTCCCTCTACCTCTTGGTCCTTTTCTCTTTTGCGAAAAGATCTATCTCCCTGTTTCTATTACCTGTCTTTTATTTTGCTCTTTTTTTATACTTTGGGTTTCTCATCTAAGAGAAACCATGCGGTGTGATTTACTTCACTTAGCCTTGTGGTCCCGAGGAGCACGCGTTTTCCTACAGATGCCTCCGGCCTATGCTTTGTGACAGAGTAGTGCTCTGCTGTGTAGAAACAGCACACTTTCTCTGCCCATTCATCTGTGGAGGGCCACGGAGGCTGCTTCCAGGATTCAGCGGCTGTGAGTCGTGCTGCTGTAAGCAGGGCTGCGTGTCCTGACTAGAGACTCTCACTTCACTCCCACAGTGCAGCGCTGGGCCCAGAACTGATCTCACCCATGGGACGATGGGGTTCCAGGACCTTCCGGGTCCTTCCTGGGCACTCAAAGGCCCTGGCCGAATGGTGTTAACCAGGCGTGGGCATGTGGGGAGCATGCAGGAGACCTGGCCGCCCACAGGGGGTCCTTGGAGCTGTCCCTCGCCCAGTGGGACTGGACACGTCCAGCTGCGACACCCAGGCCAGGCCCCGTCGGCCTTCATGGCGGAACAGGCCATAGCACATCGGGCTGCTCTTCCTTCCCTGGTCGGGGAGGTGGCAGAGCCACGCCCACGCTGTCCTGGGCCCTGCTTTCCCTAGAGGGACAGTGGGCACGGGCGGGGCCTTTGTGGTACTGGAAGGTCACTCTGGGGGGTCCCCCACCTGCCCGCTCCCCACATAGCCAAGGCCCAGTGGGTCGTGGTGCAGGATCAGCTCCAGGAGAGCCCGGCTGCAGGGAAGGCCTGGTCCCTGAGCCCGGGGCCTGGGGACGGGACGGGGCAGGCATCTGAGCCTCTTGAGCTCCACAGTCTGAGCCCACGCACTGTGCCACGCAGAGGGTGCACCACCGAAAGCCTCTGCCCTGGGGAGCTGTTTCCACCGCGGCGCCCCCCAGTGCTGACCGGGGGTCGGGAGTGGCACAGGACATATCCTTGTCATAGCTAGATGGTGAGGTCAGGAGCTGTCCCACCTGCTCCCTGTCCTCAGGGAGGTCACGGTCCCTGCGTGGACACCTGGCGCCAGAGCTGCAGGTCCCACCCTGGCAGGTGGCAGCCAAGGGCACAGAGCCTGGGTGAGCAAGCGCCTCGAGGTCCAGCCTGCGCCCTCCTGGCCTCCCAGCTATGGGCAGTGCAGAGTCCCAGGAGCCCTGCCCCTCCGCCCTGACCCTGTGTGCGTGGGTCTGAGGACAGACAGGGCCCCTGGTCAGATTCAAGAAGCCGGCGATCTGGCCTGGATCTTGGGACCTCCAGACACAAGGCAGTACCCTGACCCCAGAGCCTACAGCCAAGTGGGAACGGACAAGCCTTACAACATGAATGGTGGGGTGATAGGATTTAAGCTGGCAGGATGGGGTGAAATTCAACTGGGTCTTGAGGGATGGGTAGGAGTTCACCAGAAGAGTGAGGGTCAGAAGGGTGTTCCAGACAAGGAAGAGCCTACCTGATGCTCCTCACACCCTTCCTCATGCTGCTGCTCTTGGCTCCTGCACAGGAAGAAGGTGCAGAGGTAGATGGTGACTCCCAGGGCCCCTGCTGACCAGCTGTGCCCACTCCCCAGCTGCCTGGGCTTGGCCTCCCCCTACACGCTCTCCCCTCACCTCCCAGTCAGGGGCTTGGGGCCATCTTGAGTCAGACCCTAACGTGGCCACTCACAAACACGGTGGCTACCAGTGCCCTCGGTCTGGGACTGATGGGCGGGCGCCCTGCAAACCCAGCAGTGCCCGCAGGAAGGGGCCCGGCCAGCCTGAATGTCCTTCCGGGAGTGACTCTGACACTGAGTCCCCCTGTGTGGAGAGGGGCCTTCCCACTCCAGGGGCCACTGAGATGATGGCTTTGGCCGCTCTGGGGGCCACCGAGATGCCCCTGAGCTCCTGGGCCTGGCTTGGGATGGTCGCATCAGCTGAGAGTCCAGAAACGCCCAGGACAGAGATAAGTGGGGGCGTTGCCAAGGACAGCTGCGCAGCAGAGGGTCCGGCCCTGCCCGAGCCCGGGCACCTGCAGGCTGGGCTCCTCCCTTGCCTGCCGCTGGCCGTGACCCAAGAGGGCAGCAGGAGGACGTGCAGTCAAGAACACACCAGAGAGCTGGGCGGGCAGCGGCGGCAGGTGCCCCAGGGCTGAGTCAGACTCCTCCCCTCGAACTGAGCTGGGTCACTGAGGGGTTCCAAGTGCTCGTGGCCTTCGGGGGCCTCAGGATGTGACTGTGTTTAGAAACAGGGCCCTTTCGGAAGTGGTTGATTAAACTACAAGGTCAACTCAGGCCCAATCTGATGCGAGTCCTTGTAGGAAGAGAGGGGGAGACTGACACAAAGTGGGGACCAGTGCCCCGTACGTAGGGAAGGGACAACTGCAAGATACCTGGCAGGGCCTGGAGTGCAGCGAGCGCAAGCTGAGTCCTGCAGCAGCCCCCGAAGTTGCGGGGGGCGGCGGGGCAGAAGGGACCCGTGGACCACACGGGCAGGGCCTGCAGTCCGTCCCTAGACTGGGTACGTGGGGTGCTGTGGTTTCAGCCACCACATCTTTCACCTCTCCGTGCTGGGGCACCAGGGACCTGACCCCTGTGCTTTGGCCTGAACCTGACCTGCCCACCTCTGGTGACCTCTCCTGTCTGGCCCTGGCCCTGGCCCTGCTGCCGTGGTAGCTGGGCAGACTCTGCCATGCTATAGCCGCTGTCCCCCTCCAGGACTGCTGGACCTTGCCCCAGCCACCACACGTTCCTCCTCTCTCTGGCTGCCTCCTGTCCCTGACCTTTGGTGCCTATGAACCATGGTCAGAGTCCATCATGGGCTTTCTGTGTCCCTGGCCTTGGTCTTGTGGTCACCAGCATAACCTCCAATTCCCTTGTCCAGGGAGGTTAAGGCACAGCAGGCTGAGGGAGTGTAGGGCTCTCACCTCCTGATGGGGTACACAGGGCAGGGTGGCTGGCATGATCGTCGAAGACCAGGCACCTTCCAGATTCGGTTAGAGGAGCCGTGGGTGATTAGGCCCGCAGAGCAGGCCTGCCTGGGCCCTGGACCCCCAGCCTGTCCCGGATCACAGCCATTTCTGAGTCCCCTTTGAGCCACTCGTGACGTGGATGGGGAAGGACCTGGCTGCCCTCCCAGCTCTGGAAGCAAAGACACAAGCTGAGAGCCCTAGGCGGGAGCAGGCCACACTCTGCCTGCCTGATACATGGCTGGGAACTTACAGAAGCGTGTGTGCATGGGACACAGCCAGGAGCAGCAGAGCCACGTTTGGTCCGTGACAGACTAGTGAGTGACTCTGACCGGTGGACCCTCGGTGCTGGCACAGTGGCAGAGCGTCCAGGACACACCAGAGCGCTGTGGGCATCTCCAGTTCACGAGATATCGCCCAAACACTCCTCAGGGACCTCAGTGACACCCTCTCCCCAGTGACACCTTTGTCCCAGTCCTGTTCCTCCGCAACCCTGGCAATGATTGGTGAAGTCAGCACAGACGGTGTGGGTGACATGGTGTTTTAATGTCAGTTTATTTTGTAATTCTCCAAATTTTAGTGGAGTTGAACCTCTTTCCATACCTTTACTGGCTACTTAGGTTTCTTTAGGGTGAATTTCCTATTCATGTGTTTCTAAAAGTTCTGTTGTTTGCCTCTCTCTCATCATAGTAGTTCTCTGTGTATCCTCCTCAGCTATCCTTTGCAATTACATGAGTTTCCTACACTTTCTCCTCGTTGGAGGCTTGATGTTTTTGGTCACCTGTTAGGCGTGGAGGGATAGATAGCCTTAACTTCAACTGAGTCAGATTCGTCAGCTGTGCCTTAGAGAAGGATGCTATTTAAGAAACTCCTAAGAAATGTCTGAAACAGCAGTTACTGGAAACAAAGTTGATATACAAAATGTGTATCTTCTCCCCCATGAGGGGGCGCCTGTGTCCACCCACTTGGTTCCTTCAGCTCCATGAAGTGCATAGCTTGGCTCTATAGCTACCGTAGTTGTCTGCTCTAGTATAAAGTCCCTCGTGAGGAAAAACTACTTTACTTGCTTTGTTCTATCTCACAGACCCTGTTATACAATCTACCCCTTGCAGGGCCTCAAGAGACAAACTTAGCCCATTGGGCTTTGGGTTTTATAGCTAAGTAACAAGTATCAGTGGGGCTCTGGCTGGGACATCAGCAGGTGCCCCATCTCAAGGTGAGCTGACAGGCCCTCACACAGTAAAGACAATCAGTTTCAACTGGAAGAAATCGGGAACAACTCGCTTCACTGTCTATCAGTAGGCAACTGAATTCCGTGGAATGTTATACTTACGCTAAAATGAATCAGATTTGTTTTTATTGATATGAATCAATTTCAAAATTTAAATGCAAAGTACGAGTTTAAAATGCTACATGGTCTTTCTGATTATATTTAGAAACTATGTGTTGTTTATGGGTCTGCATGGGAGTAATTAGCAGCGAGTGCAGAGCAGTGGTTCATTCTGAGGACTGAGGAGAGGGAGGGGTAAAGGAGGTATTTTTACAATTTTATTTCTTTATCAAATAAGAGGCATCAAGGCAAATAGAACAGAAGCTCCACGTCTGATCAATCCACATAACACACGCAGAGATGCCTGTGACACTGGATACTGTCTAAGGAAAAGCATCTGAAACACGACCGTTTATAAAGTTTTTAAAATAAAAATTTAGCGGGATAACATTAGACAGTGTGGAAGCCAGGGAC